GCTTCAAATTAAAGTTTTTATCGTAAAAAGTATTATTCTTTTATGCAAACGGCGACTTATTCAACATATAATAGAAAAGAGGGCGCCATATCTGTTTAATAGTAAGTTAACTACGCAAAACCCTGCGTTGGGCAGGCTATGGGCTGTACTACGGCAACCGGAAGTAATTTTGTGAAAACGTTGGCTACTACGCATTGCTGGTTTGCACGTGACGTCACGGTGGCCATGTTGGTGGTCAAGAACAAAAGCATTTCTCTCCTCTGGGACCTAAACTCTATTTTCAAGTAAATTCTTCAAGAAAAAATTCTAAAAAAATTCTATTGTTTTGACCCACAACATAGTCGCCTTGTCACGTGGTTGCAAACCAATAATGATATAATAATAATAATAATAATAATAATAATAATAATGAGAAATTTATAAACCGCCCTTTCGCAGTTTCCAAAGGCGCTATTTAATAGCTTAAAAAATTTAAAACTACCGAAGTTAAAATTTAAAAACCACAATAAAAAACTACAAAAACTAAAGATAAAATAACTTAAGATATACATGTAAAAACACCACAGCCAAGTCATCAATTTAAAAAAGCGCGTCTAAAGAGAACAATTTTCAACTGTCTTTTAAGAATGTACAGTGATCCAGAATCTCTTATACGCTGAGTAAGACTGTTCCAAAGAAGCGGCGCAGCAACAGAAAAAGCACGACGGCCATAACTTTTTATGTTAAAAGCAGGTACCGCTAGCAGATTTTTCTTTGAAGACTTAAGATCCCGTGCTGGGTGGGTAACTTTGAAGAAGATCTTTGATATAAGCAGGAGCAAGTCCATGGAGAGTCTTGTGAGGAACAGTATTTAAGAATTTTAAATTCAATCCGAAGATCAATCGGGAGCCAGTGGAGATTCGTAAGAACAGGTGTAATATGACAGAACTTGGGCGAAAGAGTTACGAAACGAGCAGCCGCATTCTGCACACGTTGGAGCTGTTTAATCACGTTCTTAGGTAAACCATATAGTAACGAATTACAATAGTCAAGCTTTGATGTAACGAGAGCTTGAACAAGAAACTGGGCTGCATCGAAGGTGAGATGTTTACGAATGAGCCTAATTTTACGGAGATGATAGAATGCCGATTTGCAAATTGCTGTCACCTGAGGAAACATACTCAAAGATTCGTCGAAGAAAAATCCAGTGTTAACTGCTCTTGGTGAAACCAGGACACTCTCATCACAAACATGAATATGTGACAAAGGAGGTCGAGCACGGTGTTAAGGTGATATCACAAGAAGTTCAGTTTTGTCTTTATCTAATTTAACTTATTCAGAAGCATTCAAGTGTCAATTTCTCGTACAAAGGCTTCCAACCTATACTTGCAAGAATAGCAGCAAGCGTTCACGAACAGTTGAAGCGGCGAATCCTTGTACCCCTGAAGCAGTGGACTGTCCTAGCGGTTTCTGCAAGACTAGCGTACGCCTACAGCCTGATAACAGAATAAGTTCGGTCTTTCCTCGAGGCGACTCTGCTAGTGTATATATGAACAATTATTAAACTTTTTTTTTACTTAATTAGTCTGATTGATTAGTCTTGATTTAATTAGGTCGCTACCAAACGTAAGAAGTCAAAGAAATAGAACTGTCAGTAATTTGTAAATATTGGCGTCATTTTGGGCGTGTGGTTGTTTTGGAAGTTAATGGAGCTGTGTCACAAATTGTATTAAAATTCTAACGGTAGGAAATGCCACCAAACTGAGTGAAACATAAAAATAACCCCTCAAAACATGATGGTGTTAATAACACAGCCAATACAAAAGTGGGTACGGACGGAATTAAAACGGATTGAAAGTGTGTGTTTTTGAAAACGTAATAGCCTAACCGTTTCAAAGTTCATTTTTGTTCTTTGTAACGTTCGATATCATGCCTGTTGGAGAAGAAGCTATGATTTTGTCGTTTACAAGTAATTTATTCGTTTACGTCATGTTCCATAGCGCATAAGATAGATAGGTATAGTTTATTAACAAATGATTACATAGCAACCAAAAGCTGAATTGCACAAAAAGAGTGATTTTACTTGAACCGTGAAACAGATACTAACAAAGAGTGCAACATAGCGAGAGGTAAACAAAAGAAGACAATTAGTGCATGATAGTGTGTAGTATTCTAATACCTATTTCACGGTTCAAGTAAAATCACGCTAATACATTAACATACAATACAAGAAATACATACTTAATTCACCGAAAATTTGTCATAGAAGGTAAAAAGGATTGCTTAAAACGATTGGTAAATGAAATGAAATGGCTGCCTGAGGTGTGTGGGTTGGTGTCTCTGGTGGACTAGATGGTGAAGCTGGTGAGATTGAATGCGCATGTCATTCATTAGCTGAAATAGCTTGGAGCAAGCTGCTTCCCTCCTACTGCCCAGGCTGAAGAGGTTGAAGCGACTGAGGTTGTCTTCATAGGAGCACTCAGGACTGATAATAAGAAAGGCCCTCTTCAGAACACTCTCAATGTCCTCCTGAAGATATTTAGGTAACGCATGATGAAAACTGAAACAGTGAACAGTATTCAAGGATGGACCTAACACATGTACACTAAACCTTAGGTGGAATATCGGCCTTCTAGAACTTAAGTAAGATATTAAGAAAGTACACGCGTTTGTTTGGTTTCTTAATGACCTCTTCAATATGGGCGTTCCAGCTAAGATCGCTTAATCACGATAGTTAACCCCCGGATCTTAGCATAGTTAACAGCACAAAGATCAGAGCAGCAGACTGAAACTGGAATAAAAGTATGAGGGGATCTTTTGAAGTCAATTAACAGTTCCTTACACTTAGAAGCGGCGTTTAGCTGCATCATGTTAACACGAGACCAGTTTCGCGTAGTGTCGACAGCACTTTGGGCGTGGCTCACCTCACCACGAGGCGCAATTTCCGCAATGGTGGAATCGTCAACGTATTTCCACGTTGAGATGTCTGGGACGTTGAGATCGTTAAGAAAGTGCAAGTGCTAAAATCAACAAAATGAACTAGACAACCGTGACACAGTCCCTTTCAAATAAACTATATACCGATCAAGCATTAAAGCGTTAAATTCCTACTTTCGCGTTGCTATATTCTGGTGCTATACTCTGGGCTGCAAAATATTCTCATACATTTCAAGATTTACAAGGCAGAGCGAGAACTTAGAACTGAACCAAAATCGAGGACATCATAATTAAAAAGTTAACGCCACGTTATAGTCAAAAGCGCGGGTGACATTTGAAACTTCACAGCCGTAATGCTGTACTCTCTCTCATTTCGCGCCTGCTTAAACTTATACTATGGCGGACAACGGCAACGCACTCACCCAAGTTCTCCTCAGCTAAGACAGCCGTAATATCGCCCGCCGTAGCGATTTTCTTAAACTCCCTAACAACCAGTTAAGTACCCTGCATTGATATACCCAATGTATTTCATTGATTGATCCTAAGCTGTGCGCCATATTTCGCCCCATCATGTCAGGCAATCCGGATTCCGGAATCCGGGAAACTTTTGCTTGTGGAATCTAGAATCCTGGGTTTTGGTAATCCGGAATACAGCTCAAGGAATCCGGAATCCCACTTAAGATTGGAATCCAAAATCCAAGTTCTACTGACAAATACTGGAATCCAGTAGACTGTCCTGGATTCCTTTACATGGGGCGACATATTGAAAAACGTATATCTGCCCTTCGCTATATTGAATGGTTTCTGCAACCCAATTTTACTCATGCTTGACTGTCAGCAGCATATTTATTAACTAAGCAAAGCAAAACCAAAATCTCTTTTTATAGCCGCAGCATATTTCGTTTGACTACGGTCTAGCTCTTGATAGCAGGCTTTATAAAAGAACCAAACTTATACCGACCAAATTAAGTGTCTGTCAAAAACACGTCTCGAGGTCGGGTATTCATGTATTGATGTTCAATTTTGTTTCGTTTTCTTTCTGCATTGTTTTATTTTTTTCTGTTTTTCCCTGACCAAAACATCAAACACAAAATCAAAGAAAAGGTCAAGGAATGCCGAGTCGGGGTTTTACTAACACCCCTACGTTATTCTGTCCGTTGTTTTGCTTTATTTCCTATGTTTGGCTTGGTTATTGTATTGGTTTTTTCCTTTGTTCCTATTTTTCCTTTTTTTTTTTTGTTTGTTTGCTATTTTTCTTTTTGCTTTGTTTTGTTTTATCTCCCTTTTCCTGTTTGTTTTATTTTGTTTGTTTGTTTAGTTATTCAACTTTCGATTGGTTCGTTTCATATTATTCTTGTGTTCGGTTTTAATTACTTCTTTCTATTTTGTTTTAGAGTTGATAAGCCATAGCTGCTTATTCTCTTTTCTTAGAAAAATATCATATCTGATATAATTTAACCCTCGGACGTACACGCAAATTCATACCCCCACCCTAGTAAAAAAAGGGGTTGATGGAACCCCTCCCTAGAGTTTTTGATATGTTGCAGTATTTCGGAATGATTTTGCCTTCAGTGGAAAGCCTTTGATCTTCTCAACAAGATGAGGTATATTTTATCGGTGGTGGCGCTGCTGGAGGCCTGTGACGTCACCAACAATAATCGCCATCTTGGCCGCCATCTTGGATTTTACCAAGAATTAAAAATCAGGTTAAACCGCAAGAAATGGTAATTTTTTGTGCTTTCCATGTAAAATAACACAGAAATGAGCATTTTGCATTATTTTATGCACAATCTTTCCCGTATTGTTGAAAGAATTTGAAACAATATGCATTTTTACTCAAAAATGGCTTGACCACCCGCTACCTATGACATCATATCTCGTAACCACAGTAACTGGTCATCACTAAACTTGTCTCAAAATGCGTGCGAGGGATAAACGAACAGCTACTGAAAACCTCAGGTGCTGATTTTTTATCGTCTAGGAAACAATTCAGAAAAACCTCAGAGGGGGCGGCAACCACCCCCTTCCCCCCTGTACGTCCGAGGGTTGATAGAATCTGTTGTTTCTGTGATTATTATGATTACTTACTCATAATTGTTGTCATGGTAACTGTGTACACCAACCAAGGAGTAGCCAAAGGGAACATTGTAGTCCAGTACCCCGTCCCAGACGTTCAAAATCGGGGTCAACTTGCAAAAGTGTTGGTAGTAACCTGGCTTCTGACAGCAGCGGAAGCCAAACCTCAAAACAAAATTATAACAAAGCTGAGATATAACGTGCACTCTGTTTGGCTGAAAAAGCATGCTCCATGTGAGTATAAAACATAGAGCCAAAGCTGCGACGCCATACTTTGGTGTAGAGTGAACACCTATTCGGACTGTCTCCGAGGTAAATAAGTAGGAGCGAGGAGTTTGGACTAGGATTTAGCTCACCAAACCCGCTCGGTTAACAGCTCCAGCACAAGGTTCGATTTGTGTGAACGGCTTCTGCTGGTCCCAGGCCGTTGCAGTTCACACTATACCAGATAGCTTTTCGTGTCGGCACGAAAAGCTGTCATCCGGCATAGTGTGAACATAGCCTAAGTTCATTCAATTATAATTTTTATAGTGTTCTAAAATGGTGTCAAATGCATCAAAATGGAGCTGTGAAATGCAATTTTGCAAAATTCAGCCACCAGGAAATGGCCACCCGATTAATTTGCAGAGTGAAATACAAGAGAACCCTCTCAAAATAATGGAGGACCATTCAATGTATAGATATTGCAACAGAGTTTTTTAACTGCCCAGCCTGTCAATTTTTTCAAAGATTATTTTTCTTTCTTTTTTTAACTTTGAATCTGGGTAAAAAGTGTAACGACAGACATCATCTTTGGTTTACCCATTGGTGGTGGTGGTGGTGGTAGTAGTAGTACTAGTATAGTACTATTATTATAATTGCTGCCGGGCATCAGCCGGCAGCAGACCATATTCTTGATCCATTTGAGATTTTTGGTTCGATGGTTGGTTCCATGGTTCGATGGTCATCTGTGACTGCAGCGCTGTGCAGTCAGCGGTTTGCTTAGCTGCCGCGCCTGTTTTTCTCCTAGGAGCAACCCACCATTTTATTTTGCTCTCATGTAAGATCTGTGCAGAAATCGTAGTTTATGGGATGCTTGCTGTCTTTTTAAATGGCCTAAACGGTAAGAACAGCTCAAGACGTATTGTACGGAACATTTTTTTGGTTTATTTTTTTTATTCAGGTTTCAAGATTAGTTATAGCGAGTATTCTTTTGTCACACAGATTGTTACCTCGGTAATCAGGATTGTAAGTTTTACATAAGTGAACGGCATGTGCTGTACATCTGCCTGACCTGTGAATAAACAAGTTTTGGCCTTTACGTCATTTGTTCGCAACTCATCTCATCGATCCTGTGTACGATGATTGTTCGATGAAGAAACAGCCTATCAGCACTGCTGTTGTTTTAGAATTTCGTGAATTATTAAAATGAATTACAAAATGGTATTGAAACCTTAGCGAGTTATATGAATGTAAGCATATTTGTCTTCGTGATCGGTTCATTTTTTATATTACGCTCTGAGTGTTTCATAATGCCAGCAAGTCTAAGTTATTGACTTTAATAAAAAAGAATTCATATGTTCAACTGTTCTACAAACTGTCTTTGTCCTATTCGCTTCGCAACTAACGGCAGCACTTCCCTTCTCAATGCGAACTTCTAGTATATTGTTTATACAGGGAGTCTTCAGTTCAGCAACGGCTGGTTAAGATAAAGTCCTGTATTATTACGTGAAAATTGAAAAAATCGTTTACATGTACATTGCATGCTACTGAAACATTTCAATTACTTATATAGAGCAGAAATGAATTGGAAATGATGTCTGTTTTTTTGGCGAGGGCAGTTTTAACCTGTATGGGGTTGCCCTGCAGGCAGATTTCCACCCCACTGTATGGTATCTAGTTCAAGACCAAAACTCTACGTATCAGGAGTATGTTAAAACTCGCTTTAATTTTCAAAATACTTAAATTAAATCAAACCTTCCGAAATAAGTGATTGAATAAAAGGGTCACCTCACTGGCAAAATTACCTTCCAAAGAAGCTGACCTTCTCTTTTTCTTTTTACATGTACCTTCATCTTAGGCCTGCCCGCTCAATTACTGGTCACTGTCACGCTCTACATGCAATTTGTAAAAATTAGCTAATCAATTATTAGTTACCTGCGATCTTTGTGGGGGCCACTGTACTCACTTCTGACTCCAGTCAGAAAGCCATTGTTGTGACACTTAAATGCAACAGGACGGTCATAATCGTTCACATAATGATTTGTCCACCAACAATTCCCAGCATGATACGCAACGGGGCCATAACGGCATTGAAAGTAATGGATGCGATCTTCCTTGCAGTTTCTGTGAATGCTGTACCAGCGACTCAGAGAAAAGCCTACAAAAGTTAATCCTTTTATGTGAGTATGAGGGCATTATATTTTGGGATCAATCGAGGATTCTGGGTAACAGACCAGTTACCACCTCCCCGCTAAGTCAAAATTTTGCCCGAAGTGAGAAGTTATAATGTTGACTTAAGGGAGGTGTAGGTAAGCAGTTACCCAGAAACCTTAATTGATCCTTTCCCTATTTTTCAATAGGGGATCTTACACCAGTGCCCCTCTTTTGGGTCAAGTTAAAACATTAATTTTTTGACATCTAAGATGCTGTTTCTGAAGCAAAATTTAAACTCGCTCATGATCCTGTAATATGTGAGCAAGTCTAACCCCAAGCTGTTTACATTAGGTTTCTAAGGAAGAAGAAATGAAATACGTAGATATCATCAGGAATGCTCTAAGGAGCGTTGCGTGATTCAAGGGGCTGGTCAAATTACTTTAGCCACTATCAGCGTTTAGTATATACTAGAACAGTGGATAGTGTTTTTCGCGCGCTCTGATTGGCTACTCAATCAGTGAATATCCTGTGATCCACTGGTTCACCTCCAGTTCCTTCGAGCGAGCGACGCCAAACTCGCGTGAGTTGCGAGCAAAATGCCTTCCCGGTTTGCTGCCGTAACAAACTAAGAAATTTCACAACTAATCAAGCAATCTATTCCCGAAATACATGGAGAAGGTGACGAAGTTTGGTTTGGAAGTTTTAACAGGTAAAGCTTTGTCTTTTTGACTTGAATTTATCGATAAAACCGGTGAAAAAGTTTTTTGTTTACAAACGCATATTAAACTTAAGTCTTGCGTTATTTTATTTAGTTGACTTGTTCATAAATAAGCTTAAAACTAAATTTAATAATCTTTTTTAGTATATACACACTCAGTGATCTTGGTGATTTGAGCAATCTGATTGGTTCGCTATCTCGGACTATTCAACAATATTCACCTCCCAGCGAGTGGATAATGTGTGAGCTCGGTTTTTTTCCCATTTTCTTAGAGAAAGATCTTTTAAAAGTCGACAAAATCCTAGGGTTGACTTTTTTTCCGGCAAGAAAAGACTTCGAAGGATTCAAAACGGCGTTTTTCCATTTACTGTTGTTGAGTTTTGTGGTCGATGGATTGTTTACAACTCCCGTTTGTTCGCCTAGAAGAGGCCGTTTCGTGAACTCAGCGTTTCCTAACAAGAAAAATTTGGCCCAAAGACGAAGTTTATTTATGACAAACAAATTTGAAAGCAAATGTTTGCAGAAATTCTACGTTTCAAGTAAACACGAGAAGGAATGCTACATGAAGACGACGTCTTACCTCAAGGAACGGAATCGCCATTTTTGTCAGCACTTCATGCGAAGAACGACACAACAAACCTTTTCGGCTATAAACTTGGCGAGTCAACAGAAAACAACAAAGCTCTTCTTTTCTTCTCAGGTAACGAAACAATTCAAACTTTTAGCTGTTCCATTTAAGTCATTACGCTGTTGTTTGCGAAGTGATAAGCGTGTGAATTGCTATGTTTGAAAATTCTACAAAGATCTATTTTTAAACTGTCGCGTGTCTAGCTGACCTGATCTGTCAATCAAATCGTACTTTTCAATGGTTTCCTCTCCGATTTTGTTGAGATCACTTCGTGTGTATATACTAAAACAGTTATTCTTTTCAATCTCGGTGAATAGTGGCTTTAGGAACATTTACCTCGCCACTTCGTGGCTCGGTAAATATTTTGCCACTATTCACCTCGGTTTCAAAGAATAATTGTTAATTACAGGATGATTTTAAATACAAAAAGAATTCACAACTCCTTTTGAAGAAACTTCCCCGCAAGAGCTAAACAAACGCCTTCAAAATTTTTACTTGTCGCCATGAAAAAGCGACGACCGCGGCCGTTCCGTCATTGCGCGCCAAAATTGTAATCGTTGGCAACAGTAAATGAGTTAAAAATCTTTTTTTTTTTTTTGCTCAATTATCTCACTGTTTTAGTATATATTAAAACAATTATTCACCTCAGTGTCGGTGGCTAGTGGTGGTATTAACCTCACCGCTTCGCGGCCTCTCGGTATATACACTACTAGCCACCTCCACTTCGGTGAATAATTGTTATTTATCAAACGATCTCAGAATTTCAAATTAATATTACAATATAGATTTAGCCAAGGCCAAAAGCGAAGCTCTCGAGGGATCTTTTAAGAAATGTCTTTCTCAAGTAATTCAACTTTTGCCATTAGAAGAAAGCAAACTGAATTCCACCTTAAAAAAGGGACCCAAGCCCGCGATCAATTGAAAACCAAAGACTAATCAGCAGATATAACTTTAAAAAATACGTCAACCCAATGAGTTGTATACCTGAACGCGATACAGTCATGTAACATGGATGTCCAATATTAAGTTAAACACAGATAACATATGCCTAAAACTTCCAACTAGTAAGTGTGGCATTTCACGTCTTCTAACATGAATGGGTGGACGTTCGTACGTACGGACGATTTTGTCAGAAACAAAATTTCTTGGATTCATAGATAACCAAATTTTCTTAGCCATGGTGCTCCGCTGCGCGCGCTTCGCGCCCGCGAGAGCTCCACTATAGACACAATATAGTTTGTTTAGGCAATAGCATAATTTGTAGTGATATTTGGCATAAATGCCACGAGTGATATTTCGAAATTGTATTACGTACGTAATTTGAGACAATTTTGAAATATCGCGAGTGGTATTTATGCAAAATATCACGTACAAATCATGCTATTATTTGTTTATACTACTACCCACAAAAAGTTTGTAATTTTCACATGTAGGTATTTCAAATTAAGCTGAAATACCACTGCTCTAAGCCAATCAAATTGCAGAAATTTCTTATGTAGTAGTATAAGAATTATAATACCATGCACCAGAGCTAATCAGTTCCAAGTCAGTTGAAAGTGCCTAGTTTAAGTCAAACATGGAGTTTACAGAGTTACCGCAAAAATATGAGGACATATACACCCAAGCAATTAGATGCGAAAATACAAAGTTCCTCCAAAGAATCGAACGAGAACTGCGTTGTAGAATTCAGGACCCAGTAGCCACTACTTTAATGCCGAAAACAACTTATCGATTTATAAGCTATTTTTTAAAACAAAATTTAATCAGGCCTGACTTTAAACCAAATACTAGCCAGACAATTTTACTGACTAAACAAACTTCATTACCATAAACAATTCGCTCAATAACCGATTCTACAAGTTGAGGGTCGATTCACAACAACGCACAAGAAGCTTCCAGAAAACAAGCAACTAAGTTATACTTTGTTTTGTACTGCAGAGAGCAACCTGGCCTTAGTGACCAGCATCAGTTTTCTCCTAGAACTGTTAATACATAATCAAGAGGAAAGATTATGAGAACTATTAAAATGATCAGCCAAGAGAGAATTCTGTGTTTTTTTGTTAAATTCTCTCAACTAACTTTAAGTAAATGTATGGAAATCAGTAAATGGAGAATTTGAATCTGGATATTGACGCTTAAAGGGTTAAAGCCAGCAAATTGTAAAGTTTCATTCCCATACTGATATCAAGACCTTTTTGTTTTCTTTCAATCATTTGATATTACATGGCGTGCAATTCAATGTGAAATTTTATGTTGGCTTACATAGAAGGGGCACCAGTAGTCGAACTTATGGTGACGTCACGACCAAAATTTCTCGCACTCATTGCGCGGGCTTCGCGCGCGGTAATTCCCGCTATCAAAATAGCCTCTTACAACTGTAGAGGAACACAAAAGAAATACAGAAAAGCCAAAAAGGATAACGATGGGCGAAACTGATTAACATGAAAACAGGTCGTATTTCTTTCATAGCTTGTCTCCGTTAGCAAGAAGGCGTGTCACTCACAATGTAAGGGAATTATCTATACTTGTCAAAAAAAAGGCTCGTTGAGTTTACCAATTTGTAGTTAAAATTTCATTAAAAAATACACAAAATCATCGAATGCATGAAAAGTCGAGATCTATAGATCTATGTGCCCATGGCCACAAGGACTGAACGTTTCTCAAATTTTGTTAGTGTTAAATATTAATCTTGTTAATAAATGTAAGCGTATTAGTATATATATCACAGCTTGTAAGGTATCCTACAATTCAGTCTTCTGACTGCAAAAGGGACAATAAATCAGTGATTAGATTTGATTTGATTTGATAGTCTAGTCGCTTTAATACAAGGCAGGCTAGAGATTACTGGGTTAAAAAAAAAGTAGTATCGGCGTTATTCACACAATAACTTACGGTTGCTACAGCTGTAGGTGAAATAGTGTTGTTGCCATTGGTTAACCCAAGCAACTCCTGTTGGCCTTGTTGAGCTGCAGCGCCTGCGGCGTCTTCTCCACCAAGCCTTACCCTCGGCGGAAAGAACCAGCGTTAGTTCAAGCACCATCAGCAGGAGCAGAAACCTGATAACTGTGATTTTTGCCATGGCAATCTGCAAAAAATTATGAAGTCAACTCAGTTTAATCAAGCCTTTTTAAATATGAGCTCTTTTCGAAGATAACAAAAGATAAAAACATGTCTTTTTCCTTCTCTTAAGGTTTTCAAGCTTACATCCGAATGAAACGGTTTAATTACCAAAAGCCAGGTGTGGTTTGTGCCAATTTTTGATTCGTTTTTTAGCTGCATGAAAAAGGACAGTGATACGCGTTTGGGTTGAACAAAATTACTTGCCTTTCAAGGTGACACACTGTAACTTGCCTATTCTGTAAAACGCTCACAAAGTAATTGCATCCAGCAACTATCTCCTGTTGTCTGCTTGAGATAACTGATTCAAGCTTTATCCATTTATGTCTTAAATACCCCGGCTGATGTTGCTCAAAAAGGGAAGTAAAATATCATATTGCTAAGGCACCAAATCTAAGTAGGTCTGAGTGCCACTTCTTGCTAGAGCGGGCCTTTTCGCGTTATAATCAATTACCAATTTAAGACCTCATGCGAGGCTTGCTTGATTGAACAGAGAACCTTAAAGAAACAAATATGAAAAAAGGAGCAGTATGCCATTAGTTCCGATTACCATTTACCTTCCAACTTTTCAGTTTTTATTTTCAGTAATGTTTTGTGTATTCTGATTCCATACAATGTGTGTGATGGTATGCTCAGCACGAATCGGAAACACGGTTTTATCTCATTTTAAAAGCTCTCAGTTTCATTTCCCTGAAGAGATGCTATATTAGTTTTGTGGGTCTTAGCGAATATAGCCCTGATAACTAGTGTTCTTACGTACTAGCGTACTATTTTTACCGACTATAAAATGACCCAACAACTGGGATGCCAAGCGTACCAACGTACTTAGCGAATATAGCCCTGATAACTAGTGTTCTTACGTACTAGCGTACTATTTTTACTGACTATAAAATGACCCAACAACTGGGATGACAAGCGTACCAACGTACTTAGCGAATATAGTCCTGATAACTAGTGTTCTTACGTACTAGCGTACTATTTTTACCGACTATAAAATGACCCAACAACTGGGATGACAAGCGTACCAAAGTTTTTTTTAATATAATTCTTTATTGAAACAAATTGATATTAATACAACAAATTAGTTACTTACCTACATAATTATAATATTACAACTAATATTACTAATACTAATAATATAATACAAAAAAAAAACCAATATGACGAACAATAGACGGTAACCAAAAAAAAAAAAACAAAAAAAAACAAAAAACAAAATTCAAACAAACTAGAAATGTGGATGCATATTAAAACCTTTAAATAGTTAAGCATTTACAAGAGGCGACACTATCCATTTAGCTTCAAAGAAATCCTTTGTTTCTTTACCGTGCAGACTTATATATTTTTCCGTTTCATATTTTACAGCAATTTTCTTTTTAAATCCATATATATTCGGAAGAATTTGACTTCTTCTACAATCCCACAAGTACAATTTCCCAATCATAATTAGATAGTTTAGAAGCTTAGCAGAAGGGGAGTTTTGTCGTATCATTCCAACTAAAACATCTTGCAACGAAAGTCGAATGTTTTCCTTTAAAAGTTGGTGCCAGAATACTTCGAAGTCACGCCAGAAATCTACCGAGAAAGGACAGAGATATAGGAAATGATATAGCGTTTCTGGTTCAGATGAACAAAATGAACACGAGTCATTCAGTTTAAAGCCAATTTTGTAAAGTTTAGCATTAGTATATATGCTTCAAGAGCAACACTATGCGGTATCATAAAAATTTGTTTAACTTCCTCGAGTGTGAAATGAAATTCATTTTGCAGCTTGTTTACATTAGTTGGAAAAAGAGCCTTTCTGCTTACAAGTAAAGTATAATGGTCTTTAGATTTCTTCTTTGTGACATCAAATATATTATCGTCAATTTTTAGAGAAAGTTCACCTGTTGTTGATTTATGAGTACAATTTTTTAAAACGGAAGGAATGGAGTGTCGAAGACCTGCCCAAACTAAAAAATTAGTTTTAGAAATCCTGTTACAAACTAAGGAAAAGGAATCTTTGTTACTTAAGTCAAAGGATAGATCGCTGATGTGAACTATACCAGCTTCGAAATAGGTTTTATAATAAACTGTTTTATTATTAATGAGTATTTGTTTGTTATTCCAAAGAATATAACGCCAGTCTTTTTCTGAAGAGAACGTATCTCTAAATTCTGACCACCACTGCAGTAATTCTAGATAGAATAGAGAAATATTCAGTGGAAGGATACTAACATCATAATTGCAATGAAACAAGAAAAGGCCGCCAAAGCGTTCTAGATGATGTGTCAGATACCTTTTCCAGGTGCCATCATTTGAGCTAGCTATTCTTTTTAGCCATGCCAATCGAAGCGATATTATCATGCTATCGAAATCAATCATCTTGAATCCTCCGTTGGAGTATTCATTTATCGCCGATCTGCGTGTGATTTTATCACGACCATTCCATAAGAATTGAAATAATAACTGGTTTAACTGACTTACAAATTCTTTTGGGGTAGGTATTAAAGATGACACATAAACAAATTTCGGGATTAATAGAGATTTGATAAGTGTAATTTTGCCATAAATAGAGAGTCCTCTAGAGGACCAAATTCTAGTCAGGTTTTTAATACTGTCTAATCTTTCTATGAAATTCTTTTCAAGAAGTAATTTTTGATCATACGTGTAATAAATTCCTAAAGCCTTTATCGGTTCGTTAGGCCATTTAATTCCAAAAGGCTGTGCTTTGCAGTTCCTTGAAGAACCTATCCACATAGCTTCCGTTTTGGAACAATTAATCTTTAAGCCAGAGACAATCTTAGCGTACCAACGTACTTAGTGAATATAGCCCTGATAACTAGTGTTCTTACGTACTAGCTTACTATTTTTACCGACTATAAAATGACCCAACAACTGGGATGACAAGCGTACCAACGTACTAGCGAATATAGCGCTGATGACTAGTGTTCTTACGTACTAGCGCACTATTTTTTCCCAACTAAAAATGACCCAACAACTGGTAAACTTAAAAAAATCCTCTTCAATCAACTAATTTTTTTTGTCTAGTATATGTAATTTAATCATCCGTACTAACCTAAAAACAATTAGAAAAATGCTCGGTATAATTAAATGGGATCTTTATGGAGACATCAGCCACTTTTCTTGCCTCCAAATTGGCTGAGAGGCCACTTTTCGGCGAGAGTGGAGAGAAACTCCAAGAAAAACAAGCAGAATTTTCTTCAAGAATCGCCAAAGTGGCGATATTACCTTTTGGAGGGGTCTGGTACCCGCGGTGCCCGTCGAAAATGGCGAATCCTTCGCGGAAAAGGAAGGCCGATCTGTTTTCTCCTGAATCAGTAAATGTTCGTCTGACGGCCAAAAAAGCAATTATCAGCGGAAATACATAGTCATGTTGCCTTTTTCCAGAGTACAGACCTGACAACTGTCGAAAACATAAAAGAAAATGACGTGCTCTTGACTTTGATGTCGACGCTCACTTTGAATGGTCTGTTGCTTTTGAAGTCGGCGATTAATCATGTTCCACCTACGTACTCGATGCGTCGTAAGGATTTCCAAGGATTTTCACTGCGTTCTGTCATAATTCATGAGATAATGGCTACCTGTGCAAGTGAATGTTGTCTAACGCTCTCTGACGTATACTTCTATGTCAGTTTCCTTGAAAGACATTGTCCAAAATTCATCTCCACGTCTGAATTTCTACCAAAAGACAAATTATGGAAGCTATGTGACGGTTGTAGATATCGTTACGCCAAATTTTTGTCACCGCCTTTGCAATGCTGTTTGAACTGCAGTGAAGGCGTAACTATGCACAACCCACCCTCAAAGCCCACGTTATTCACGCTTGAAGGCCCGATTCCTGCATCTAAAATCACTCTGGAGTGTAAAGATTGCGGTGTTAGCTATGGAATTGGCCGATATGCTGATAAAACGGGACCCCAATATTATCCGAAGTCAGTTGCAGTTGATTTGATAGAGGTGACGAACACCACCTACATGTCGCCTTATTTGTACAGGTGGTTACCTTCACTCAGGTAAAGGACCAAATGTTATATGCTATGTTTCCTTGATAAATAAATAATTACAAATGCAAGGGACGGAAGTTAATAGAGTTGTAACTCGGAGTTTCACGCACTAGGCGATAATAATAATAATCACTGGACGAAAAAATGGATTTACTAGGGTAGCCAAATTACAGCAAATGTGTAGCAAATACCACATTTGCACAATTTTGCGCAAGAGCAAAGACTGATATTGCACTAGATTTGCTATCCGTAGCAATGACGGTAAATGCCACATTTGCACAACATTTACATCTTGGTGCAAAGATAATGGGCAGCCATGGATTTGAGGGTCATTTGCAGATGGTTCAAATGTGTAGGCAAATATGTTTCTTTGAACTATATTTGCACATTACGCAAATGATAGCGCAAATCTGCTGTTTTGCACAGCTTTTTCTTTAGATGTAAAAGCATGTAAACCTGTTATTTTCAGAACGTTTACGCCGCTTTGCAAATGTGAGCGAAGTATCTAATTTGAACAATGTTTGCTTGGGTTATCATGGGTGATCAAATTTTCATAATTGAACCAGATTGCTTTGCATGGCGAATGTAACCAAACCCTTTGTATTAAACATGTTTGCTCACGAAGCAAATGTTAGCAAACCTAAACTTTGAACAAATTTTCTAGGGTGTGCAAATTTGATCAAACACAAAATTTTGCTTGTAGCGGCAAATGTGCTCAAAAGTCAAGTTTTGAACAAAGTTGCTTGGGCAGCAAATCTGATCAAACTGTTAGTATTGTACAATTTTTCGCTCAGGTAGCAAATGTAATCAAATTCTGACTTTAATTTGGTTAGCAAATGTCATCAAACCCATAAAATTGAGCACGTTTTCTCCAGTAGCAAATGTAAATTCCAAGGTTTAAACGAGTTTGCTTGGGTTGTAGCAAATGCGATAAAAATTTTAAAATATTTTTAATTATAATATGGCTCACTTCAGGTTCTTAACAAGTGGCCATAATTAATCAAACATTAAAGTTACTGAAAGAAATTCTAGCAGTGACCTCCCATTAATGTTTAAATGATTTATTCCATAAACTAAAGTGGCTTTTACACATTATTACAGACATTACAAACTACAGTATAAAGCTGTACATACAGCTCTTCATATTAATTCCCAATTTTACTGTTCGTTGATGTTTACTTGTCTCCACTCTATGCTCTATCAGATCATTACTAACTATTAATATTATAAGAAAAGTGTTCTTCATCTAAATGTGTAAGATATTCTACATACAGCTGTAGGTGTTTCAGAGTTGCCTCAAACCTGTTTCAGTTCTTTAGGTTTTTGCAACTCAGAAACAGGTTAAAAATCCTTTCAGCCTTGGACCAATATTTACTTATGACAAGACTATTTCTTACTTAAACTTTTGTATCTAAGGACCAAATCCTGTTTCAACTAAATGGAACCCTCAAGACACCCATTTTAATAAATAATTAGTATTTTTGTATTTAT